AAACTGCATGCATGCTTTAGCTACACAGTCATCTCAAGCTCAGCCCGGCACAATGTCATTGTTCACAGCTGTATCTCATCTTGGGGTTTCTATGTACATCCTACACACTTTCACAAGGCAGAGACTTATCTCTTCCAGCTGTAAGTCAGAGGGAGTGGTGCTGCATATTCTTAGCAACACATGCAGAATCAAACAACACAAGCAGTTAACTCTCTTGAGTAGGACTTTTTAGAATACCAGAACTCCGTTGCAGTTCACTGATGGTTACTGGATATAAATTTGTAAGACTTCTGCAGCATTGGGGTGGAAACTAAACATTTCTCTTGCTACTTTCTTCTGGTAGTCCTGAATCACTGTTTGAGAAAAATGGTGGCAGAAGACTTTGTCTCTGCAGTGGGTTAGAGGTAGACTGAAAGGGTGTCAGGGAGGATTCACTAGTGGCAAAATGTGTCATAGTTAGAAGGATTTAGAAGGGAGGACAATTTGAACTGCTTTAGAAAAACTGAGAGCACTGCTTGAGCAGGAATTTTCCAGATGTTAATATACCTGTTACTCTTCCATAATGATTAATGCCCCAAAAGAATCAGATCATCCTTGCCTCTCCCACTTGAATCTCTAACTCGTGGAATTTGCCAGTTCTTGATATGAACTGTGAGATTTGGATGGAACATCTGACCTCATTTAGACCATTTGATCTTGAATTCTGAACAGAACCAGGAAAATTGGAAAGGGGAGTTGAATGGGGGTCATAAGAGAGGGATCTTAGTTTTATGAAAAAAGGAAGATAGGAGGAAACTACTGGGCCAGTGAGTTGAGAGATAGTTGAAAAGGAGTATTAGAAAGAAAGGGGGAAAATAAAGAGAAAACATGTGCTAGTATCTCCTACCAAGATGTTTGATTGGCACAGAGCTTGTGCTCAATACTTTTTTATAAATAAATGAATGAAAGAAAATTTGGGGTTGGAGGCTTATCCCTTGGAATCTGCTACAGGCTGGTGTTAAAGAAAAATGGATCTGTATTTGAACAAAAGTACATTTTCATGTCTCTGCATTGCTTATTTTGTAAAGAGACAGACTCAATGATTAGTGTGTGTGAAGGAACTCAATACTAGTAAGTATAGGAAACATTTGATGGTACTGGTGAATGGTGTTGCATCAATCTGGAGGGGGGATGGGAATTGGTTTCACGTGGATGGATTAATGCCACAAGACAACTCATACCATGAGTTGGCTGAGATCATCCAAAAAGATAGGCAATGATGACTAGAAAAAAGACACAAAAGTAGAACCACAATTCTTGGGGGAGAGAGAATGAAGGACAATCAGAAACCTAGATAAATCAAGTTCTATTCACCAGGGGACACATCCAGGGAAAAGTTAATTCACTTTGAGAAGGAACCAGTATACGTAACTTTTCAAGACACTCTCAGACACTTATAATTTATTAAATTCCTTTTGTTGGTGTTTGTCATTAACAGGAAATTCACAAATATATATAGCCCAGAGGTGAGTTTTTGGTCTAATAGTAGTTTTAAATAATCTCCTAAAAACCCACAAAACAAAATATAGAAAGATGGCAAGAAAAACAGAAGGCAACATAGGTTTTTGTACAGAATTTATACTTGATGATAAGGAACAAGAAATGTAATTGAAATGTACAATTAAAGACTTGCTTGTACTTGAATACCCATATAAATCACCTGGAGATCTTAGTAAAATCTGATTTTGATACATACATCTGGGTGGGGCCTGAGATTCTATATTTCTAAAAATGCTTCAAATAGATGCCAACCCTTTTGGTTCTCGAATCACACTTCGGCTAACAAAAACCTACACAGGTCCTCTTTAATAGGTGTTGGCAGCCACTTGTGGTTATATGTAGACAAGGGTTGCCTTCTTATCCACATCTTGACTGCCAGGTTATCATGAAAGCAAGTCTCAAAACAAGTTCTAAGATATGAACATTGGGCCACTGGGCACAAAACAATCTTACAGCCTGTACCAGAGGCATAGTAAAGTCACAGCTCTGTCTTCTTGAGTGCTCGGTGTGACATGTAAGAGGCTCACAGCTACAAGGGCCACTTTTCCTCTATTCCAGTGGTTCTCAAAGTGTGGTCCCTGATCCAACAGCATCAGCATCACCTGGAAACTTGTTAGAAATTTAGATTCCCTCCCTCCCCAGACCTACTCAATTAGAAAACCTGGGGCTGGGACCTGGGTTATTTGTATTTTTAAACAAACTCTCCAGGTGATTCTGATGTTTGCTCAAGTTTGAGAACCGTTGTAGTATATAGCAGGATTCTGTCAACCATCTAATTGAATTCAGGCAACCAAGAATCCAATGAACCATAGCTGGACATTTTGGAATCCAGCCTAGGGCACCACTTCTAAAGATAGAGGGCCTACTAGATTCTTCTTAAACCCTGTTAATGTAAAGGCGTGGAATGTTTCTAAAACTTTTTCAACAATCCTTATATTTTACAAACCACTAAAATCACCAAGGCAAGCCCGTCTAACATTAATTAGGATAATTAATGAAACCCCTGGAGTAATAGGAGCTAAATATAACTGAATCATTTACAGTGGCCGCCTCTGGAGTGTGGCTTTTTGATTAATTGCTAGCCAACCACCCCTGGAGTGTACGTTCCTGATTAAGACAACTGACCGCCTCTACAGTGTAACTTAAGCTAACACACACATACATCATATTGTACTGTCCATGTGAAGGTTTTTAAAGACTCTTAAAGTATACTTTATTAAGGCATCATTTAAACACTATAAAATGCTTCCATTCTTCTAAGTGTATAGTTGAGCTTTAACAAATGTATATACTTGTGTAGACACCACACCAATCAGGATATATGACATTTCAATCACCTAGAAAATACCCATATGTTTCTTTGTGGTCAGTTACCCACCCCCACCCTACCGCAGGTTACCATCTGTCACTATAGCTACATTTTGCCTGTTCCAGAATTTCACATAAATGGAATCAAATAGTATGTACTGTTTTGTGCCTGGCTTCTTTCACCTAGCTTAATGCTTTTCAGATCATTTCACATGGTTGCATTATCAGCAGTTAGTTCCTTTTGTTGCAAAGTAGTATCCCATTGAATGACCGGACCAGTTTGTTTATCCATTACCCTATTGGTTTGTTTCCAGTTTTTGGCTATTATGAATAAGACTGCTGTGGACATTCATGTACACATCTTTTTGTGGACATATGTTTTTGTTTATTTGGGGTAAATATCTAGGAATGGAATATTTGGGTCATAATATAGATATGTGTTTAATTTCATCAGAAACTGCTAAATTGACTCCAAAATTGTCATACTACTTTACATTCCCACAAGTAGTATATGAGAGTTTCAGTTTCTCCGTATCCTTACCAACATTTGGTATTGCCAGTCATTTAAAAATTTTTATGCTGAATAGTTTAAAGTAAACTACAGGCATTTTCTTTCCCCTAATTTAAATTTGGTCTTTTAGGTTTGGTCTCTTTAAAGGTCATAAAGCTAAAAATGTTGACCTCAGTGTCTTGAATATTGATGACATTATGGCCCTTTCCTAATACCTCATTAGGATTGGTTCTTTGGGTACCATGTGATTATGACAGTTAGTCATGTTTGTCAGTATGATCGTTCTTTCTTTAATTCTTTTATTCATTGATTTATTCAGTTGACCACTCAGTCCTCAAGCTGTATGAAACCTGCTTTTCCAGAGAGCTGTTATATATTATATTGCTAGAAAATATGACAGAAGCAGGTGACAGGGTTCTTGCCTTTAAGGTGCTTTTTGGAGTTGGGCTCCTGAAACATATATACACAGAAACACTAGAAAAGAAATATAACCAGTGTCTATCCAGGCTTGCACAGACTTGAGTAAGGACATATCTAAATATAATTTCCTGCTAGGTGATGTGAGTCAGGGCTTGATAGACAGGTGACTACAGTAACCACAGTAGTATAAGTTGTTGAATTGCTACTCTGTGCTGAATATTAGAATGAGATTATACCTTAGAATATAAAGTCAAATGTTTATTTTAATCACAACTATATTTTAAAATGCATCTCATACATAAACACACACACATATATGTTGGGTAAATACTCAAAATTGTAGCAGTGCCTACTTTTAGTTTATGGAAGTATGGATGACTTGTTTACTTGATTTTATGTATTTTTTTTGAGTTGAGATCTTACTTTGTTGCCCAGGCTGGAGTGTGGTGGCATGATCATGTTTCACTGCAATCTCTACCTCCTTGGGCTCAGGTGATCCTTCCACCTCATTCTCCTGAGTAGCTGAGACTACAGGTGTGCACCACACCATACCACACTCAGATAATTTTTTTAAAATTTTTTGTAGACAAAAGGTCTCATAGCCTAGGCTGGTCTCAGACTCCGGGGCTCAAGCAATCCTCCCACCTCAGCCACCTACAGTGCTGGGATAACAGGCATGAGCCACCCTGCCCAGCCATATATATTTTTTGAGTCGGGGTCACTCTGTCACCCAGGCATGAGCCACCACATTTTTTAATATGTCAGTTTTCCACCATGGGCATGTATAACTTTTATAACCAGAAAAAAGTTATATTGCCTCTAGATTGTCTAAGTTCTTATAGCTATTTCAATAATGTATTTCTTGTTCTCTTTAATCTTATGCAACAAAGATTCACTACAGTAGATTCAGATTATGGTCTAGAAAAAAAAATGCCTATCCTTTTGTCCCTCTTGAGGACAAAGACTATATGAATGTCCCCAGGCTGTGTCGCTGTAGTTCTTCACAGAACTTAGCCTTCCTGATTGTCAAAAGGCAAATGGAATTTTCTTTTTTTTCCCCCACATTGACAGAATTTCACTCTCCAAAGCTTGGAGCATAGATACAATTATTTTTTTCTAGCCTATTTTTGTGGTTGTTGTAGTTGTTGGCAGATCATTGTGTTTTTTTCTGTGCTTTCTGATGAAATAACTAATGATCTTTGTTTCTTCTCTTTTTCTTCAGCTGACCTGAATAATGTCAGGTTCTCAGCTTATAGGACTGCCATGAAACTTCGAAGACTGCAGAAGGCCCTTTGCTGTAAGTATTAACCAGTACTTGAAGATCTTGATAGTTTTTTCTTTGCTTAAATAATGAGTTGGGATATGTTCACTTGGAGAAGGGAGAAATAGCTGTCCCAAATCATTTTGCAACATAAAATTCATTCTTTAAAGTATCTTTGGCCTCTTGTTTGCCTAGATTGTTTTGTTATATTGTTCAGAATCATTCCTGTCACCAATCTTTAGCTACTGATGTTGAATTGATATTGATAATTTTTATTTTTCAACGAATGTCATTGGCATCCATAATTACCATTGTGAAACTTGCATCATCTCTTCCTAGTCTACCTTTGTTTTTATTATCTTTTCAAAGTGTATTTAGTATTTGATGACTGTGACTACCTTACTTAAATCAAAGCCCACTGTAACTGTGGAGAGGAAGAGATGGCTCTGAGAGCTTGTAGCGTGAGAAGGAAAGATTTATTTAGGAGAGGATGAACAGCCTACAAAGTAGACTACAAAGGAATGGCTAATAAGGGAGAAATAAAATTCTGAGAGCTTATAGTGTCACATACTGTATGGGAAGAAAGAGGGGACCTATCACCAGAGTCAGATGTTGCTAGGATGTCAGGTTGAAGTTGGGGAAAGTGTCCATTGGATTTAGCAACAAGGAACTCTTTAGTAGCTTCAGTGAGATTGTAAAAGCACAGTGGAGGTGGTGCAGTAAGTTCAAAAGTGGATTAAAAGTGGGGATGTAGGAATGGCATGGACAGTTCTTGGAGAAATTTAGTTGTGAAGGGGAAGAATGTAGGGCAGTAGCTAGCTGGAGAGGGCTGAGAAGTTAATGGAGATATACAGTCATGCATTGTTTAATAACGGGGATACTGCTGAGAAATGTGTCCTTAGGTGATCATTGTGCAAACATCATAGAATGTGCTTTCATACACTTGGAAGCCATAGCCTACTACATACCTAGGCTATATGATATAGCTTATTGCTCCTAGACTACAAATCTGTACAGCTTGTTACTGTACTGAATACAGTAGGTAGTTGTAACACAGTGCTAAGTATTTTTGTAGCTAAATGTAGAAAAGGTACAGTGATACCAGATGTAGTGGCTCATGCCTGTAATTCCAGTGCTTTGGGAGGCCAATGTGGGAGGATCATTTGAGGCCCAGAATTTGAGGCCAGCTGGGCAACATAGCGAGGCCCCTATCTCTACAAAAAAAAATTTTTTTAAATAAATTAGCTAGACATGGTGGTGCATGCCTATAGTCCTGGCTACTTGGAAGGCTGAGGTGGAAAAATTGCTTGAGCCCAGGAGTACAATGCTGCAGTGTGCCATGGGAAAGATGCAGTGAAAATATGATATTTTGTGATATTATGATGAAACCGCTGTCGTATATGCAGTCCATTGTTGACTGAAAAATCGTTATGACTTTTTTTCAGTTGACCCTTGAGCAACACAGGTTGGAACTGCTCAGATTCACTTATATGTGATTTTTTTTCAATCAAATGCCCACAGAAAATACAGTATTTGTGGGATGTGAAACCCAAGTATATGAAGGGCTGAATTTTTGTATATGCAAGTTCTGCAGGGACATGAGTATGCATGGATTTTTGGTATATGTGGGCGATCCTGGATCCAATCTTCAGTGTATACTGAGGGACACCTGTGTGTCTGTGTACACACACACACACACACACACACACACACACACACACACACACAGAAAGAGAGAAAGAGATAAACAGAGAGACAGAGAGAGACAGAGAGATTTGAGTATATTTATAAAATTTGAGAAGAAGATAAGGTAAGATTAAAGTTATTGGCTCAAAAGGTGATGATAAAAAATGTGAATTCTCAGAGGATTTGGGCAGGTGATCCAGAGTCCAAGAGAGGGAATAGAGACCTGTCTTCCATGTAATGGGTAGAGTCCAGGGAAAGATCTGTGCAGACCCAGGTAACTAAGAGACCTGGTAGCAGGATGGTGAGGGATGTCCATTTCAAGGCTTCTATTTTCTATGTGAAGTTGAAGGAGAGTCCCTGTGATGCAGTTAACAGCAGAAGGTGATAAAGTTGAGGTTGGGCTTATCTTTGTGGAGAACAAGAGAGAGGGCAGAGTTGAGAACCAGCATTACAAATCCAGAGGTAGCTGAGTGTTTTACAGCAACACCAGTCTGCGGGGGTACAGTATTTTTCCAGGTACGCTCAGCAGTCAGGAGCTGAATGCTTCTGTCCCAGGGTAGGCAGAGAACAGCAGGACAGAAGTGGGGATTTGGACAAGAGTAGTTAAAGGCCAGGCTCAGTGGCTCAGCCTGTAATCCCAGCACTTTGGGAGGTCGAGACAAGTGGATTGCCTGAGCTCGCAGGTTCGAGACCAGTCCGGGCAACTTGGCGAGAACTTTTCTCTAATAATAATAATAATAATAATGAGTGGTTAAAGTGATATCTGTCAAGTCTGTATTGGGGAGGAGACACTATGAATTCAGGTGGAAGTTGGGGATTAGGAGATAGAGGATCAAGAGACTAACTGTTCAGGGAAGCAGATATAGTAAAGAGACTAAAGGCCAAGAAGTTGAGTTGTGGTCAGAGAGAATCATAGCTGAACATTATTTTAAAGGTGGAAAACAGTTCTAGGTGATTAGATGTAGGATATGACCATTTGAGTAGGTGGCAGAGGTGGAGTAGACATGAATTTCCATGGAGATGAAATAACAAGTTAAAGAATTGAGAGGCTAGAATAATGCACAAGTCACTCAGCCCAATGTTGGAATCATCTGGAACTGGGAGACCAGAACTGGCGAGGAAAGACCATGAACCCTGGCTGCCAAGTCTTCAGGAATGAAGAGGTTTGACCAACGGTTCTGCAGAGTCTAGCACTAAGATGGTCAAGGAGTCACTTAGTACATGTTTCTTACACAGAGATGGAGAAGAAATCTCCTAGAAGTAGACTTGTTTAGAAGGAGAGACTAGGCATTTCCCCTTCATCTTGGTATCTTCAATGCTTAGCACAAAACCTGGTACAGAGCAGGCTTCCATATGTTTTTATGGAATGAATACATGAATGAAGGTAAATTGAGGCTTCCATTTCCTTCTATCTTGTAGCCTGAAATTATCATTTTTCCAGCTATATACCTGCCAAGTTTAAGTGGACTAGTCCTAGTCCTAAGATTTCCTTGGGAACCTGTTAATATACTATGACTCGCAAAAAGTATTTTGGGGTAAAGTTATGGGGCTGGATGGGGAAAATCTTCCCCTCTCTTTCTTCTCCAGCCCCTGCCCCATCCCTGGGGTGCTGCTTTCTTTTTCATGAAAGAGTAATTAGGAACTGGTTATTATGGGAGGGCTGTAAAATACTCCGATGAGATCCTAAAAGTTTAAAAAAGGTAACCAGCTGTTCCAGGTCATACTATGAAAAAGCCCAGAAATAGACTGGATGGAAAAGTTTATAATGACTGTGCCTGTCTAGAGCATTAATTTTGGCCCTGGAATTAGGCATTATTCAATATTCCTGTTTTGAAAAATTATATATGTTTTATCATATGCCATTTCAATTTATGTTAACATTTCTGATAAAGATTGGGAAAATGTGATATTATAAAACATTTTGACCATTTGAGGTGATAATATAAAACCTGGAATTATCTTTTGGAGGGAGGACCCTTTGTAGTACAGGCTTCTCCCGCTAGGTAAGTGTTCTAGGAACATCAGTGTACCAGCTAGTGTTGTGGGAGGCTGCATTTGGCTTCAGTGATTTTTTTTTTTAGATTCTTTCAACGTGTTTGCCCATCTCATGATGGGTGATTTACGAGTGCACCAGCTCACACTGCACTGAGTTTTCAGCAGTTTTTGACCAAAACAGCTTTACCCCTGTACTCCACCCTCCCTAGTCTCCCGTTCTCACACTGAGTGACTTTTTTTGTTTGTTTGTCCGGATGAAAAAAGTCCTCAAAGGGACACATTTTGCTGATATGGAAGAGATGCAACAAAAAATGGCAGAAGCACTAAACGCCACCAAAATTGATGAGTTCAAAAACTGATTTTTTTCTTTCTTTCTTTTAAAGATGTGGGGTACAATTCAGGGTTAGGTATACAAAAGTTCATCATGCAGTTATCCTTGTGGATGAGGTGTGCCCCTCCCTCCCCTGGCAGTTTCCCTCAACTGCCAGTCTCACCCCCAAAAAAACTGTTTTGAGTAGTGGAAAAAGTGTCTCAATAGGTGTATTACATCAAACAGGGAGTACTTTGAAAGTCTCTGAAGTGAAAACATGTAAGAATAAATACAGAATTTTTTAATAAATGAATTCCAATTTGGGAGGGATTTTCCTCTGTAAAATTAAGTTCTAAGTGTAGAATGATTTCTTTAATTTTTCACTTTTAAACAGATTTGAAATTCTCAGCATTTTCTTTCTGAGATTGACTTTTTCCATATTTGAAAAAAAAAGTCAAGTGTGGTGAAATTAAGGTGTATTTATCTAAATTAAGTACTGAATTCTCAAGAATGCTTGGAGGATGCCATGCATAGTAAGAATATAGAATGAAGAGTTCACCAATCCTTTTATTATTGAAAATATGTGTGGTCACATTACTTACAAACTTTTCACTAGATGATTTAAGAATTTTCTCTTAATTTTGCATTTGCTTAGGTGTAGCTCCAGCCTTTTGTCATTTCTGTGCCTGCAAAACCATGATAAAGAGCTATTGTCTGTGGCAAAGGCAAATAAAACTTGCCTTGGCTAGCTTTTCCTACCAAAGGCTGCTTCTACTAACTCTTACTTTAAGGAAAATTAATGATGTTATCGCAGTGATTTCCTGATGCCAGGGAAGAGTTTGAATTACAGATGCCTTAGGAAATATGCACTGCCACCTCTATTAAGCACTTGATCTTATTTTTTCCCCTTCTCTATCCACATTTCAGTATTACAGAAAACAGAATAACACAATTTTATCCACTATAGATAATTCCCTATGTAAGTGGAAAGCATCAGCATTGGCCTATAATGTCCCCAGTTTGTAATCAGTTAAATGTTGCATGA